ATATATATATATATATGTGTGTGTGTATATATATATATATATATATATATATATATATATATATACACATACTATACTATATATACATATGTATATATATATATATATATAGTATATATTATATTGTATGTGTATTATATATTATTATTTTGTAATAATATTATATAATATATAATATTATATAATTATGTAATATATCATATGATATACTAATTGTCACATATATGTTACTTATCGGGTTTACATTGTCTAATTTAAGTTTTTCGTTATTATTTTTTAACAGTACAGCTTCTGAATTCTTCTGTGGATTCCCGGCAGCAGTGGTTCAGAGCTGCTTTCTACAAAAACTCACGCATTAAAACTGGAGTCAACCTTAAACATGCAAGGCTGCAAATTAAGAGACCACACACGGACAAAATTGCACCAGGCCAGCCGTGGCTCTCAAAAGATGTTGTGGTTAGAATGCATAAACCTCCTGGTTTTCATACAGAGACCGTATTTCACGCGGGGGACATGAGCTCTCGGGATGTTACGTTGGATTTGACAGTTACGCTTAAGAAGTGGCTTAAGGACACCAGTGCTGAGCTTTTAGTTGTTGAAATTGGCCTCCTTAAAAAACAAGAAGTGAGTACACAATCCACACCTCAGCTTGTTTTACAACTTGACCAAGCAGTGAGGAGAAGAAACAAGAGAGCTCTGTCTACTAGAGAGGAAAGCGTTGAGGATGAAGGTCACTGCAGGCGAAAGTCATTAAATGTTTCCTTCAAAGACATCGGCTGGTCAGACTGGGTTATTGCTCCCTCGGGCTACACTATGCACTACTGTGATGGTTCCTGCCCACATAATTATAAACCTGCCAGTATGCATACGCAGGTGAAGTCTCGTCTGCATCTCTTGTCCAAGGGAACGACACCCGGGCCTTGCTGCGTACCAGCTGCATATGAGCCAATGGTTCTCATGCACTATGACAGCCGTGGAAAGTTGAAGCTCACGCCTTTCAACGATTTGATAGTTAGTAAATGCCACTGTGCATGAACAGCACTGGCACTGGCACTGGTTATCCACTGAACTCAAAAGAGAAGATGAAAAGGAGGCAAAATATCTAGCTGATAAAATGCAAATCAATGTTCTCACGCTCATCTGGTTACATTCCTTTGGTTTATAAAATAGTTTGATTTCTTAAGGCAACCAGATGCCTGCATTTCTGCATAACACTGACATGTTGAATGGGTACTGTATTTCCATATGATTGACTTACTGTAATATCAAGTTATTTATTGTAATTTATTTGAAATGTTTTTGTACTCGTTTGTTGCTGTGTTGTGAATGAATCAAGATACACCTAGACAAGCAAAGACTGAATTGTATGCCTTTGACAGAGACATTTCTGGCGGTTTCACGGTGCCATATCAAACCGCCTGCTTGTCTAATGTTCCACTTGTTTCATTTAGTTGTGGAAGTGGAAAAGACATTCTCAGCTAATTTGTAGCTAATCGCTGAGAGAGGAGATCTTTCAGTAAAAGTTTCAGTGAGTCACAGTGACAAAAAAATCATAAGACACAGTCAAGATGGATAATTATTACCACCCTCTAATTAATATGAAAGCTTGAAGAACAAGCTTTGCATGTGAAAACATGAGCATAATCCTTATGAAATAAGAGGCGTGTGACATTAACTGCACATAACTACCGTTCAAAAGTTTGTGGTTGGAAAGATTTTTGCAATGTCTTTGAAAGACTCTTGTGTTCACCAAGCCTGCATTTATTTGATCAAAATACAATAAAACAGCAATATTATAAAACACAATTAAATTTAAAGTAATGTTTTCAATTTAAATATATTTTAAAATATAATTAATAATATATACACGTCTTCAGTGTCACATGATCCTTCAGAAATCAGTCTAGTATGCTAATTTGCTGCTCAGGAAATATTTCTTATTAATATCAATGTTGTGCAAACAGTTGTGCTGTTTAATATTTTTGTGAAAAACGTGGAAACTTGTAAAACTTGAAACTATGGAAACTATGATTTTTTTTTTTATTTTTTATTACTTTTTTTCAAAAGAACAGCATTTATTTGAAATAGAACACTTTTGATCAATTTAGTATGCCCTTGCTAAATAAAAGTAATAATTTATATATAAAAAAAAACTTTACTTACCACAAACTTTTGAACAATAATGTACAGAAATTGATCAAATTCATTAATTCAGGAAGCAAATATATTTTTTAACATTAAAATGTGTGAATGTCCCCCCCATCCTTGCTGAAAAGTCCAGCATATGACCCAGCATTATTGGTCCACCGAACCAGTACAAACCAGTCTGTAGATCATGGAAGGTTCACGCTGGTCTAAACTGGTCTTTTCAGCAGAAACTCCTGTTAAACTGTGATCAATGAGGTCATGATTATGTTATGCTGTCTCACAGTGTGTTCAGTCAATAAACTACATTGGCTCATGTAATGTTTGTGAGGGCATTTGAATCGCTATTTCTCTGGCAAAATATTTCACCTTTGGAAAATAAAGACTTGTTCTTTTTTCATATCATGCCAGTACAAATGACTACTGAACATTTGGGGGATTAATACTGGACAGCAAAACATTTCAGACTTTCAAGCATCAGGCATGATGTAAACATCCTCAGAGATTTCAGCCTGATCTGGATGGAAGAGGGCAGGATCATTGCTGTAGATTGCATCATCTGGATCACACTGCAGGTATGCCTGATGGTCTCTAAATGGGGGGTAAAAGTGAAATTCAGTTCTTGGAAACTCAAATCCTTATAACAAGTTGAATTGCAAAATTTGCACCAATATATAACCCAATAAATATTGCTGCAAAATAAAAACTCCTTTCATGTTACTCTCTCTGACTGTTATTGCCACACATTCAGTATGTCACTGTGATCTTGCAAAACAGATAGCAAATAAAACTTTGCAGGAAATTCCATTTCTACTGTAAAGACTTATCGCAGCCTTCTCATCACCCGGTTTCTAATGATCTACAATAGTGCAGTGGCTTACAGACGCTTACAGATTTGACTTTTGTACTTTACCTGTGTGTGACCTCACTCTGTACAGCACTCTGAAATTCGTGCAGATTGGACTGTCCACTATGAAAGTTCTCATAGATTGGGCTCTGGGGTGCGGGCTGAAGTCCTCCGGCGTATCCACTGTACGGAGACTCCCTGGAATGGCCATCGTGGCTCTTATCTTGGCTCTTAAGTTTGTTAGATAACTCAATATCCACTGATTTTCTGTGTCGAAACCAGAAAAACACTGCTATCCCCACCAGCAGCAAAGCCACAAAGAATATAGGCAAACCAACAGCAAGTCCAAGTAAGGAGTTTTTCTCAGGCAAGAAACCCTCTGTAGAATGACTAAATGGGACAGATGTGCTATTTACATCCATGGTCTAAAAAAGATAGAAAATTATATTTTTACATCTATAATGAAAACATTCACATCTATGTATTTCACAAGAGAAAGTGATACATTTTTAGTACTGTTATGTACACTGAAATTCATCAAATTAACATTGAAATAATTATTTGTACTTATGTAACTCAAATGAATCTTTCATAATGGAAATAGCCTTACCATATCGTGTAGGTGAAACTGTATCACCTATGTCTGTATCACGGTAGCGGACAGAAATGGTCAAGCTGCCATTTGCTGTTTCTTTTTGCAGAAAGAGCCTGAAAGTTCCTCTTTCACTGCAGTAGTCATGCAGCCTGGAAATTCACAGCCCCACAAATCATTCTTCCTGTTGTCTTCCTATAAACAGTTATACATCTGCTCTGAAAATGAGATTTGTGGGTTTATGTTCATAGGAGCTTGATATGCAAATAATGGCTGATCATAACCTCTCAAACTTTACCAGTAATTCATAAATGATGGCATATATATTAGCCTATTGTCATCCACCATTGCTCACAAAGCCTTCAAAAATAAAAAGTTTAAATCATGTTAAAAGCAAATACAATGCATGCTGGCCCAAGTGTATCACTAACAGAAACCCACTAACTGTGACAATTTAGAATATACAGAAATGAAAGCAGATTTACCAGACCAAGATTTGCTGAATTTTTTTTTTTTTTGAAAGTAGCTCAGATGCTGTGGGTAATGCTGACAGACATTTGAACATCCTCTATGAAAAGGAGGAACTTAGTTTATGCTAACATTGCAAGACAAGCACAATAAGGCTTGTTTTTCTCATAGGTTTTTGCTGGGACTTATATACATTTATACATTGTGGCTTCAAAAAGAGGGCAAAACAATGTCAGAATAAAGATCAAGTTATGGTCAATGTCCTTATCTTTTGAGTTTATAACACCCCCTGGTGTTAAAAATTGTGCATTTGCCCTAAAACTCGCATATGTTTGTATGATCCTTCATTTTTGTTAGTGGACAAACGTGAGAATGAAATAGGGTCATTATGTTTGGAAATAACTACATCATTCTTGATTAAAAAAAACTAAAACAAAAAAACAACAACACTGTTTAGTCACTAGGTGTGTCAATTTGAGGCCCGTTCTCCTTCTTGATAATGTTGACCAGCATCAACAGCTGGAAAACCCCTAACTCCAATCCAATTTACATCCATGATCTGGGGAAAATAATTCCGGTTTCATTGGAAATAGCTTTTTAATGATGTTGTGTTAGCAGGTCAAACAAAACAGACAGCTTTGTTTGACTACTTTGCCTAAACTAGTAGACAAAACTTTGAAAACAGGATTTTCCAGTGTTAGCTTTGCTCTAGACAGATAAACAGAGGCAAAATGGGGTTTTAACTGTAGCCTATCAGTTAGTCTGAGAAAACAAAAGCTCTGTCTTCAGGTCGCAAAGATTTCCCTTCTTTGTATCTGTTTTCATTTTCAGGACTGTGATGCATAAAGATTGCTTATAAAAAAATATTTAATCAAGAATCGTGAATGATAGACTGTCTGACATGAAACACTGCATACTGAAGTAAAATGATGGCTGCAAATAATGCTACAAAACACTGACATCCACTGCACATATTGCACAACATCTCAGTGATATCTTGGTGTTATCTCAACTATACACAACTTCTCTTTCTCTATTAAAAATTCCCCAGCTGCTGTAAAACACTTCCTTTTTACATGCAACATGCTTGCTGTGGTTCTGTTTAACAGCGTTTTACAAAAGAGTTCAAAGAGTTTAATTTCATATCAATCAAATTGACTGCAAGAAACTACATTTATTTATTATTATTAATTAAATTTTTTTTTTTTTACAAAAACAACAAATACTTTGACCAAGCATGCATAATACACTGATATCATGACATGTCTGAGTGGACCTGACATCTAACAACATCAGTGCAGACAGGAAGTTTGCAATATTTTCCTCACTACACTCTAAAAAGATAGCAGATTGGGGTTCTTTGGCTTGCAACTATAACAGAACCCTTTTTGGTGCTAAATAGAACCCATTTATAAAGGTCATGCTTTGAAATTGCTATAGAAAACATTAATAGTATTATAAGATTTACATTTAGTCATTTAGCAGACACTTTTATCGAAAGCGACTTACAAATGAGGACAATAGAAGTAATCAAAACCAACAAAAAAGCAACAATATGTAAGTGCAAATGACAAGTCTTGGTTAGCCTAAAAATGTTTTTTTTATTGGTCTTATGAAGTATTCTAATTTGTTGAGATAGTGAATTGGTGGGTTTTTGTTAAATGTGAGCCAAAATCATCACAATTAAAAGAACCAAAGACGTAAACTACTTCAGTCTGTGTGCATTGAATTTATTTAATACACGAGTTTCACAATTTGAGTTGAATTACTGAAATAAATGAACTTTTCCACGACATTCTAATTTATTGAGATGCACCTGTATTATTATACACACACATAAAACACACACACACACACACACACACACACACACACAAAGAAAATCAAGTAGATAGAATAGAAAAAATAGAAAGCAAGTGTTTTTTTTTATTAAAAAAAGATTAATAGATAAAGTAGAATTAAAATAGAATAGAAAGAGCTAGAGTTAGAGGGTCAAATAAAGTTGGAACAGATGTGTTTTTAGTCGTTTCTTGAAGATGGCTAAGGACTCAGCTGCTCGGACTAAGTTGGGCAGGTTATTCCACCAGGAGGAACAGTTAATGAAAAAGTCAGTGAAAGTGGTTTTGTGCCTCTTTGAGATGGCACAATAATGCGTTGTTCACTTGCAGAACGCAAGCTTAGAGGGCACATAACTGTGAAGTAATTAATTTAGGTAAAGACTGCAGAGCCAGTGGTGGTTTTGTCGGCTGGAACAGATGTGTTTTTAGTCGTTTCTTGAAGATGGCTAAGGACTCAGCTGCTCGGACTAAGTTGGGCAGGTTATTCCACCAGGAGGAACAGTTAATGAAAAAGTCAGTGAAAGTGGTTTTGTGCCTCTTTGAGATGGCACAATAATGCGTTGTTCACTTGCAGAACGCAAGCTTAGAGGGCACATAACTGTGAAGTAATTAATTTAGGTAAAGACTGCAGAGCCAGTGGTGGTTTTGTCGGCAAACATTAATGCCTTGAATTTTATGCGAGCAGCTACTGGTAGCCAGTGCAAATTGATGAACAGAGGTGTGACGTGCTTTCTTTTCGGCTCATTAAAAGAATAAGAGCTTGAACAAGGAGTTGTGTTGCATGTTCTGAAAGAAAGGGCCTGATCTTCCTAATGTTGTATAAAGCAAATCTGCAGGACAGTTTTAGCAATGTGGTCTGAGAAATTCAGCTTATCATCAATCACAACTCCAAGGTGTTTAGCTGTTTTTGAAGGAGTTATGGTTGATGAGCCTAACTGGATGGTGAAATTTCGATAAAGTGATGGGTTTTGTTGAAACCACATGCAGTTCTGTCTTAGCCAGGTTGAGTTGAAGGTGATGGTCCTTCATCCAGCAAGAAATTTCTGTTAGACATGCTGAGATGTGAGCACCTATCGTCGGATCATCAGGATTGAATGAGAGGTAGAGTTGAGTGTCATCAGCATAGCAGTGATATGAAAAGCCATGTTTCTGAATGACAGAACCTAGTGATGCCATGTAGACAGAGAAGAGAAGTGGTCCAAGAACTGAGCCCTGAGGCACCCCAGTAGCTAGATGTAGCGACTTGGACACCTCACCTCTCCAAGATACCTTGAAGGACCTATCTGAGAGGTAAGACTCAAACCACTGGCATGTGGTTCCTGAGATGCCATTTTCCAATATAGGGTTGACAGGAGAATCTGGTGGTTCACCGTATAAAAAAGCAGCCGACAGATCCAGCAAGATAAGTATAGAAGATTTGGATGCCGCTCTTGCCAGTCTTATGGCTTCAACAACTGAGAGCAAGGCAGTCTAGGTCGAATGTCCACTTCTAAAGCCAGATTGGTTGCTGTCCAGGTATTGTATTACTGATTATAATAGTATTATAAAGATAGTAGTTTATTTTCATTAATACTATTTATTAATATTGTTTATAACTCTTCTGCCTGCAGGTCTTACAGTATATCTTGTATGAATGAATGAATGAATGAATGAATGAATTTTATTTGTTATTAACTTGGGAAATAGCCAAAATTATGGATTAACTGAATGCATTAATAAATGATAACCAACGTTGAACATGAATAAATACATCAGTAACTGTGATATGTTAATAAAAACTCGACTTTAAATGTTTTTTTAAAATTTTATGACATTTTAAGACATAATGCCTACTGTATTGTATAAAAGTCACGCTTTTGCAATATTTTGATTGATTTGTTATATCGGTTCTGTAAATAGGGTACCACTAGGCCTGTTTGACAACAGACACACTTTTCCTAATATTTCTTCCTCAATTTTCCGTATCGTAGAATCGAAAGAATCATAATCGCTAATTCCTGCTCTTTTCTAATCTTCATTCGATCTCATAATCCTCGCGCACGCCCCAGATGTGTGTGTTCACTACGCCCACGCGCCAGGACGCGCGCACGCAGCAGCGTTTTATTGAAGCAGAGCGGAGCCCAAGAGGAGCGAAACATGGCGACCTCGAATAATCCGCGAAAATTCAGCGAAAAGATCGCGTTACACAACCAGAAGCAAGCGGAAGAGACAGCCGCGTTCGAGGAGGTGATGAAAGACCTGAGCATTACTCGCGCGGCGCGTGTAAGTGTGACTGTTTTCTCTCTTCTGACAGCGTTGATCAGCAGAGCTGCGGGGCAGGATTTGTGTTGATACGACACGCACTGTAGCCGCCTGTCTGGACGTAAACAATAACAAACGCCCCTCTCCAGTGCGCCTTTATCTTTAGCGTTGATTTATAGATCGCCTTCCAATGGACGCCATTGAGATATTTGATAATAAACAGACGGTCACGACGAGGCCTTATAAAAGTTGCCGTGCTCACAGCTGCAGTGGAGGAGTGTGAATGCATGTATGTTTGACAGCCACATTACAGTCTCTCGCCATTATAGCTGACTGCAATCAATGCCGTATCCAGTGCGTTTTAGCATCTAAATATTCATTTCACGTGTCATTCGTTCGCGGAGGCTTAAATCTGAATGTTGCAAGCACTGAATACACAACAATGTATTTGCTCAGTTCAGCATAATTGCTCAGCGCATTTATGCCCAAAATAAGGACTCCAGCAAACTATGATGGCAAGGTTGTGATTATACAGGCAGTGCTCAACAACCATCCCAATCAAGATCCAGGCTAAATACTGCTTGTTTCAGAGCTCACGATTTTCTTTTCTTTACTGTTTATTTTTTCAGTGTGTTATTTTACAACGTTGGAGCTTGATATCAATCATTATGCTGTATTCCTCATTTTTAAGTCCCACTGGACAAAAGTGTTTGCTAAATTAATACATGCTTTTTTCAGTGAATTGCATTTCTTAGTTTGAATCTTCCATTTCTACCATTATATACAATCTGTGGGATATTCATGATAACATATGCCTACCTAGTATGGTTTATTAATGCATCTATAATATATAAGGCATCAGGTTGTTAAATCCAAATTCCAACTACTTTGATTTTTTGGTTATTTTCTTAAATTGGTACTGATTATATAGCCACTTATCCTTGTATGTTTTTGACATCAGATGTAACTGGAGAGAGAGCCATAATAATAAAAAGTAGCTAAAATATATTGGGCAGTTTGTTTAGGACTTTTATTTGGAAGATTTTTTTACACCTATTCCTTGCTGTTCATACCAAGGACGATAACAATAACGTTTTAATAATACTAGTTCTAATTCTATGAAAATAGTGAAGTCCAAATGACAGCTATAACGATAACAACACAGAAGAACATATTTTTTGTAATCACATTTTTTTTCAAGCTGTTGAACAAGATTGACAGCTAATAAGAATCCACATGACTTTGAAGAGTTTGAGCATTTAAAGCGTAAGCTGGCATAATTGCGCACACACTTATAATAAATAGAATATTATCATGCTTTGGTGTGGATGCTAATATAGTTATCATTGTTACAAGATTTCCCTTCTTGTGTCCTTACTTAATGACACAATGCTGATTTATAATCAGAAGCCCCTTTGGGTAATTTTACTTATATATTGTCTCACAGTTTTTGGTTGTTTTCTTTCTTGCAGTTACAATTACAGAAGACTCAGTATTTACAGCTCGGTCAGAACCGAGGACAGTACTATGGCGGCTCTTTGCCAAATGTCAATCAGATCGGAAACACCACCATTGACCTTACCTTTCAGGTGAGGAGCACTTTGACAGGTGAAATTAAGAATGCATATGTGGAATGCAAGCTGTGTACTGACATCTTCATGTTTGTTGGTTTTCATCAGACTCCTTTTCAGAATTCGGGATTTGACACAAGCAGAACAACTCGTCACCATGGGCTGGTGGACAGGGTCTACCGGGACAGGAATCGCATCACGTCGCCACACCGCAGACCTCTCTCTGTGGACAAACATGGCCGTCAAATATCCTTGATGAGTATACCCATGAATGCAGCCAGATGTTTTGGTCTGTGTGGGCTACGAAAGCATATTTGTTTCATATGTCTGCCATTAACTTATTCTGACATTATGAAGTCCTTAATGTTGAATCTCACATTGATAGCTGTCCGTATGCCTCTGTGTATCTGTCACCCCCATCTGATACCAGCTGGAGGAGGTGAGAGTTTATACTCACACAGTCTGCTTGCATGTGCTGAAGACTGTGCATATGTGCAGGAGTAGTAGCTGTTAAAATTGCATGTCAGTAATTATGCTTCATAGCTAACGTTTACTAATGTTTACATAATGTTTTCTAAGATGTCTTGCTAAGTTGTAGTTTGCCTATTTAATGTAAGTAACTATCTAAAATTTCATTATATCCTTTTGCCACTCTTGTCCTTTTGTGGTACAATATAAACTTTTCATTTAAGTTAGGGGAGACCTTTGCCTTCTTTAATTTCTTTGTGCTTGTTTTGTAGGACCAACTCAGACTCTGCCCTGCATCAGAGCACTTTGAACCCAAACCCACAAGATGCATTTGCAGGAGGGTCTCAAGATTTGCAGCCAAAACAAGGTTAATAAAATGTTTATTTTTAGGTTAATTAAATGTTAGTTTGATTTGATTTATGATCTATTAAATGTTCTCATCAATAAAGTTAAATGTTGCAGTGAACTCTCAAATTTTTCCTACACCTGTTTCAGTGTATGATTTCATCCCTCTCTATGTACTAGTTCTTCTTCTCACGATGCCAGGAACAGGGGAATCTGAAAGTGACATGGACAGAGAAGGTCAAAAGCAGATATGGGATCACAAAAAGGTACATTTAGAAGAATTTGATTTCTTTCATATGAATTTTGTGGAATCTATTATAAATAAAGTATTTATCGTTTTTTCATAGACTACTTCACCAAGGCCCAAGTCAAACAAAATACCAGGAATAAAGTAAGTGTGGTTTCATTGGATTTTCTTAATGACAATGATAGTGTAAAGTAGAGGGTAGGTGAATGGAAGGACCAAGCAGCACTTATCACTTGGAGATTGAAGAGTCAAGGTCATTTGAGCAAACAATTATCAATTTATTATCCCAACCCAACAGCCACGCAGTCATATCTACTCCTTTATAACAGCCTTGTTTTATCACATTATAATCGGTACAATGGCCTCATTCTGTTGACATATCTATTTATCCCAGTTCCTTCTAACGTCCCTCATGTCATTTCCGCAGCATATTTCCATCTCCAGATCAGGAAATGATTGCATCTCTAATCCCAGTGGCACACAACACGGGCGGCTCTCTGCCAGACCTGACCAACATCCAGATTCCCCCTCCTCTCACCACACCCCTGGACCCTGATGACTCCTCTTCCTCTCTCAGTGCCTCCAACAGCACTGGCAACCTGGCCAACACTCACATGGGCCTCACGTCTGTCAGCCAAGGTGATTCTCACAAGCATATGCATTAGGGCAGTGGCTCTCAGTCCTTTTAGGGCCTTTCGCACCGCTTTAGTTCCAGAACTAAATGTACAGTACTAAAGTACTGGGACGATTTTGCGCAAACTATTTCCCAGTACCATTTAAAGGGTTTCATCGTAAGCCGGTCGACAGCGACGTCATTTGTGCACGGCGTTCCACAACGGAAACAAAGAAGAACAATGTTAACAACAGGAGGATGGAGGACGTTTTGTTCCTTCGAATTCCAACTGGATTTCCTCCGTTACGTAAATGTTCAAAAGTGCCTGCACTTCAGCGTCTGTCCATCTATCGCTGTTCTCCATACTTGCGAAATAAGTTGACACTATGTTTACATAACGTTTTAAATCATGGAGGGTGAGGGCGTTTTCGTACGCGTTTGGCCAATCAGTGTCTACTTACGTCACGGGTAGTACCAGTTGTGCTGGTTAGACCCTGCTCCGGAGTAGGAGCTAATTTGGTTCTCGAAAAAGGCAGTCCGGTACTAAAATCGCACCCTGTTCTGGTGGTGCGAAAACGCCAAAAAGTGAGTAGTTCCACAATTAGTTCTGGTACTATGAAAAGGTTCCCGCGGTGCGAAAGGCCCTATTGACTCCAAGGCCCCCATGTAGGTTAACAGGTTTCCACTGGTACATCTGCTGATGACAAGTTTTGAAAACTAACTAAAATAATTATCATTTTAATTTAAATTTAAAATAATTCTAATTTATATGATTCAGAATTTGTAAAAGCTGAATGTTTTTCAGGGACTTTCTGAACAACTGTCTGAAAATCCGACTTTTTTAACCTATGAATTTACATGACTTTTCTACTTTCAAGTTCATATTTATTTCTTTAACACATTTAAAACAACATTGGTTGACCAAAGTGCTGTAGTGTACATAATACCTGAACACAATAAAAAGATGGGTTTTTAGCATTGGTTTGAACTCAGACACCATTGGAGCAGCTCTAATAGGTAATGGTGTAAGCAATCTAGTGGGATTGTGAATAAGGATTATGTTTGAGAGGTATTTGGGGGCTAAATTTTTAAGGTCTTTATAAACAAATAGCATATTTTGTTAAATCAATGCGGTATTGAACCGGTTGCCAATGCAAAGAGTGTAAGATGGGCGTAATATTATTCAGTTTATTGCCCATAAGCAAACAAGCAGCCACATTTTGGACCATTTGAAGATGGGAAATGGAAGAAGAGACGAGCAACCCATAAAACAATTAATTACAATAATGAAGCCATGATGAGATAAAAGCATGGATAACAATTTCAAAGCCTTTTCTACATAAGAAAGGTTTGACTTTGGCTAGGGATGAAGGTGATAAAAGCTTGAGCTAACAATAGCATTAATTTGCTACTTTTAAAATAAAATGTTTGTAATTTACTGGAGAAAGGTAGTTTTAAAAATGAATATTACTTTTCTGCACAGTAAAATAATTTAGTGCTTGGCATAACTAGAAAAATGTATGTTGTTTATAAAAAAATACCCACAGTGTTTTAAGATTTTATTACTTTACATGTTATATTGAAATCACAATTTTAAAATTAGGCTATCTCACATATCCAGGTTTTTCTAGACTGTGGAAATTCGGTTTCTTCAAAGAAAAAAAATACACTTATTGAGAGGGTGAATTAATCTTGATTTATCTCAGATATCTTGTTGCTTTAGCTTAATTTAATGCTTGTTTGTGTTAATTAAATTTATTTTAAGTTATCTTGAGGCCCCCTTTGAAATTCGCTGAGGCCTCGTCTCTCTGAGAACCACTGTTTTAAGATATGTATTTGTGTGTAAAGATGTCCAGTGCTGTTACTGTCATAACACTCTGATTATGAATGTTAACTTTGGACATTTGTGGGCAAGATAAGCCCAAATATTGTATTATATATGTATTAGATGCCACTTTATTCTCTCTCTGGTTAAAACAATCTAATAACTCTTGTCTGCTAGCCTCTAACTTTTCATCAAATTTGATATCATCTTATCTAAATGGATTTTCACACTCATTTAAAATCATTAGTAGCTATTTATTCAACATCTGGGAAGGGTTGCACCAGCCATTCCTAAGTTCTTACATAAATGGGAAAGTCCACATTAGTAAGGCTTGGTAAGTAACTACTAGCTGGATGGTAACTAACTCTGTACTGAATTCTGTTGTTAGTAGGTTGTACAATTTTTATGGTTGATTTTATTTGACATGCACAATATGGACCGAAGCACACAGAGACATGCTGTTTAGGTGGGGCTTGTGTTGTAGAGCTGCTAACAAAATCATTTAATAACATTATATTCTTTCGCTTAAGTTGTAAATGAGTGTGAATGAATGTCAACATTATCATGTATGTCTAAAGGATTGAGGTCTGTCATTATTCTCATCAGGTGTGACATCAGCCCAGCCCACAGCGACAGTGAGCGTTCAGCGCCGCCATGAGAATGTAGTTCCTCTGATCCTCAACACAGACTCCCAGCAGCACCCGAGTCTTCAGCAGCTGTCGCCCACCCTCTCTCCTCCGCTCTCTCTCGCACAGGTAACACTGCTCTCATTACTCCAAGTGTTGAGCTGGTGTTACAGAAGGAACATTAGATGTTAATCTAATCACTCAGATGCTAATAAAGCATCTCAATCTGGATCTGTGTTGAATAGGCGGTGACGATAGACGCCATGATGCTGGAGCAGCAGTTGGCTCAGTATGCATTCTTCAGTCAGCCGTCCACACAGACACAGGGGGTCGGTGGGTTTCCCCAGCTCCAGCAGAACACCCAGCTGCCACCTGTCTCTGGCAGCCAGACGCAAACCTCTGTGGGCATTGATATTAACACGGTAAGATCACATCTTAACACTTACCTCCATTTACGGTCTGTCAGTCAGATCATACAGGGCTCTAAATGGTTTAATTTAATTTAAAATGATAACACATACTGTACCAGTCAAATATGTGGGCATACCTACTCATTATACACACATGCAGAAAATAGCAATAATGAGTATGTAGTGGGGAAAAGAAGCTAAATCAAAATTGTTCTCAATTTTAGCATTTTTTTTTTAGAGTCAGCTCCCTTTCTCTCTGCACCTTCCGTTTTTCTCACTAGTATTTAAATTATTGGAGTTCATATGTTTGCCATGTACTTGTTGGCTGACTTTCTTCCACTGTTTTATGGGAGCCCATTTCCATCTCAGAGTAAATTAATTGTCATTATTTCTCACAACTTTATTCAACTTTATCACAACATTATTAAAAATGAAACAGGTAATTGCAAGATAAATATTCAAATGAAGTGGCAATCTCACAATATTTTTGTTTGTTCTCACAATGATTTGTTTTATTTTTAATGATGGGTAAAGAAATATGTGAGATAAAGTCACAGTTGTGAGATTTGACTTACAAAATAACACTAAATAACACTATGAAGAACAATGAAGAAAAACAACACTACCATTCAGAAGTTTGGGGTCAGTAATAAGAAATTTATTTATTTAGCAAGAATGCATTAAATTGATCAAAAGTGACTTAAGACATTTATAATGTTCCAAAAGATTTCTATTCCAAATTAAGTTCCTTTGAACTAGGGATGCTCATTTCGGTTAATTGTCCTGACCGACAACCGCTGCTCGTTATCCGAACATTAACCGTTAACTGATAAAATTAGAATTATAAATTAGTATTAAAAAAAAAATAGAATGGACAAGCATCTGTGATGTTGCATTAAAAATACAAACAAATATTTTATTTTAACGTGGAAACAGCAGCAAACAGAGCAACAGCAAAACCTGGATTCACAATCCTCAAATTATCACGCACCAGCAGCGCTTCTGAGAACAGAGAAAAATAGTGAAAGTGACGTGACATGTGGCCAAGTATGGTGACCCATACTCGGAATTAGTGCTCTGCATTTATCCCATTCTAAGTGCACACACACCGTGAACACACACCCGGAGCAGTGGGCAGCCATTTTTGCTGTGGCGCCCGGGGAGCAGTTGGGGGTTCAGTGCCTTGCTCAAGGGCACCTCAGTCTCAGAAATTGAAGGTGGAAGAGAGCGCTGTACATTCACTCCCCCCACCCACGATCCCTGCCGGTACGAGACTTGAAACCGCAATCTTCAGGTTACGAGTCCGACTCTCTAGGCCACGAAAATAGAATAAAATAATATAAATAAAACACACACTGAATCCTTTTATGCACTTTGAAGAATGGCATTACTATTTTCCTGTCAGACATTAAAATATATAGCAGGCCTACCTCAGTGTACATGTCTATTTTTTTTTAAGTAACATGTCGACATACGGATAGACTGGAGCGCTGCCTGCTAACTGCTAGACCCACAGCAAAAACACCATCAATTTGCGGGTCGGGACTTTTCATCCACTGGTCATATGTTTCTATTCATGGCATGTTTGCAGCAGCATTGAGCAATATAGCCAATCGCAGACATATCTGGTGATTTCATGAATGCAATCCACTCACCACCCAAAATGCCGGTGTTCTGTTAAGTTCTGCGGAGTTCTACGCATTCACAAATTCTCTCTTTAAACAAAGAAAGTGCAGACATGATGTAAATAAGAGTTTAATTGTGCAGTGTAAAGCTTCTTTGATTATTTTTAATAAACTTTGTGAGATTGCGATGATCTAATGTAAGATGAGTGACAGCTTTCCAGTGATTATAAAGGGTGCGCCCATTGCGCACTATAATCCATTCAGAATTTACATACATTCACTCACAGATTCACTCTCTGATAACCATTTATCCAATATTGCCACTTGCCATTGTGTTGCGTATACTACATCAGTTAACTAGGCTAAGTGAAGGTGAAGCAGGTCTGTATATGCACGCTGCACGTGTCGACATGCTCCCGGGAGTAAACAAATACTGTATGTATGGCATTATTTTTTCCTCTACCATGCAGCAAACTTAAAAATATTTGTCAAAACAAAAAGTTTAAACTGTTTAACTAATAGTATTATTCAGTTAAAAAATTCTTACTTTCGGTTAGCGGTTAAACAGTCAATATGAGCATCCCTACTTTGAACTTTGTTTGTTTATTAAAATCCTGAAAAAAAAATCTATCATGGTTTTCCACAAAAATATCAAGTAGCACAACTTTTTACAACATTGATAATGGTAAGAATTGTTTCTTGAGCAGTAAATCAGCATATTACAATGATTTCTGAAGGATCATGTGACCCTGAAGACTGAAGTAATGGCTTTTGAACTCTGCCATTACAGGAATAAATGGTGTTTTAAAATATATTTAAATAGAAAACAGCTATTTGTATGGAAGCCCATTTCCGCCACTGAATAAAAAATAAAAAAGGTTATTGCGAATTTTTATCTCACAATTCTGACTTTTTTTCTCAGAATTGCGTGATATAAACTCACAATTGCATGTTGTAAAGTCAGAATTGTGAGTTTATATTACGCAATTCTGACTTTATTTCTCAGAATTGCGAGTTTATATCTCACAATTATGATTTTTTTTACAAGCAATTCTGAGAACAAAAGTCTGAATTGTGAGATAAAAAGTCGCAATTACCTTTTTAAATTTATTATTCAGTGGTGGAAACGGGCTTCCATATATTTGTAATATTATTTAATATAAATAAAATATTTTTTAATAAAAATATAAATTGTAATATTTCACGATATTACAATTTTTACAGAATTTTTGATCAAATAAATGCAGCCTTGGTGAGTATAAGAGACTTCTTTCTGAAACATTGAAAATTCTTACCGACTCCAATCTTTTGAATGGTAGTGTATGTAGATGAACTTTTTAATATCTGTCAAATTATTTTAGCAAATGGCTGCAATATAACAAAGAGTGAAAAATGTAAGAGGGTCTGAATACTTTCCGTACCCACTGTATATGAACACTGGACAGGCATTTAGATCAAACATATTAAAATCATAAGAAACACATTTCAAACACGTCCAGACATTTGACTGGTCGAGTAAGTAATGAAATTTAACAAGCTGTGTTCCTTCTTTCTCAGTTCTCAGCTTGTTGTTTTTAACACCTCCTCAGTCTTGACAGAATGAAGAAATCGGAATATCATACTACCAAGTAAAGACGGGAAAAAATATATATTTCCATTTATAAAGAATCAGTGGTCTTATAATAACAAGGTCCTAGTAAAAATGTCCTGGCTGCAGAGTTTACATGACAAGAGACATTGTAAATTGTTGAGAGCCACAGGCCACATACCCTGAGTCAGAGGTCCCCTACAGGGGCTCTGCTGGTCTAACTTGGTGTTGTCCCATATAGGCTGCTTCCCTCCAGCAGTACCGCTGTAGGGTGGGGTCTTCGGCCAATCAGTCTCCAACCTCTCCGGTCTCCAATCAAGGCTTCTCTCCGGGGGGCTCGCCTCAAGTAAGGGCGAATCCAGCAGCCGCTGCTTCCTCCTGTAGTTTGTTTTATTTGGAGCCGATCTGGAGCCTGTCCCTTTAGCTGCTCTGTGTGTCCAAGTCCAGTCGTGTCTCCCAGTTTCTCTGATCCCGGCTGCTTTGCTGTTTGTCTGAGCACCACTTACACATTCTTTGTATCATGCTGACTAGCGATATATGCCAATTGTAATGTACGCCATACTTAAAGTGCCATTGCTGTTATGCATCCATAACAAAACAATCAAAATTGATGGTTGCATCAGTATGACAAAAATTATTGTCTTGAAAATTTTTAATTATTGTATTGTAAATGCTTTGAACCCTGAAATAATTACAGATTTGAGGAGTAATATTTCAAAATTAGACTTCTGTGTAGAAAAACAAACAAACAAATATTCAATACGATCTACCAGCCAGTTATATATATATATATTAAAAAAAAGAACGCTGCATCAGCCAAAAGCCTAGAAGAGAATTCATAGAAGAGACATTTTTCAGAATGCAGACCTCTCCTTGTGTTTGTGAAAAAAGAAAGAAAATGTTGTAGAAATACAGTATTTCATTAAAATGTAAAATGTACAAGTAAATTACTTTATAGATCAATAATGGCTCTGCAATCTAAACAACATAAATTTAGTAAATTAATATTGTACTATATGCATGTAATTACATGACATACTAAACTGCAACATTGAATTTTATACAGTATGTATCAGAGGATCTCTGCTCTGTCTTTATCCAATAATGGACCTGATAAAGGTTAGAAATTCTAGTTGATATTATCAGACAGAATTATATAGTCTTATTTTTTTAGTCACTTTGCCTGTAGCCAGGAGTGTCCAATCCTTCTCATGGAAGGTCAATGTCCAGCAGAGTTTAGCTCCAACACACTTGGCTGGAAGTTTCTAATGAGTCTGAAGACATTGATTAGCTGATTCAGATGTGTTTCATTAGGTTTGGAGCTAAATTTAGCAGGACAGTGGCCCTCTAGGAACAGGTTTAGACACCCCTGTCTTTGGGCAGAGTTCACTGACTGCTGCAATGGATGCCACAGTCTGTGTGTGTCATTTTCTTTTAACATAAAAAAATCACAGATTTTTGCTTTGTAAGGATTCTGTTAGAATCCAGATGGAAAGTTTTAGAGTGGGAATAATGGTGTGCAACTCCTTCCTCTTGGTCTCTAAAAGCCATTTTGTGTTGTTTATTTTGTTTTTATATTTAGGCTTTGTTCATCTGTTGCTTTAACAAGGTGTTACATTTCTGTAGAGTACACTTGCAACATATTTTTGTGTTTGAATGAGCCAAAATGTCTTCATGTCAAACATGGTGATGCAGAATTAATGTTGTCATCTTGCATCATGAATTGTGACGCAGAACTTTTTCGTGGATTTAGATCCTCTCCTGGGCTAAATGTGTTGTTTTAGGGCCTTGGTGAGTGATTTGTAGTGATTATCTTGAGCCTCTTCGTGGATGGTTATTTGTAATGTGTTCTTGTTTTAGCACTCATCCATTCTCGGAAGTGTCTTTGGTGATGCCTTTTACGACCAGCAGCTGTCCCCTCGGCAGACCATCGCTTTGTCTCAGCAGGTGAGCTCATTATGCCTGTGATATAAATTATTAGAATTGTACCTTAACTGCTTTAGCCCATCTGGAAGATTTCAAGCCGCTGGTCACATAAATATAAAATTGTAGTGCATTTCTATGTTCATATATATTTATACAGTGCTGCTTGAAAGTTTGTGAACCCTTTAGAATTTCCTATATTTCTGCATAAATATGACTCAAAATTTCACACAAGTCCTGAAAGCAGACAAAGAGAACCCAAACAAACAAACGAGACAAAAATATTTTCTTTGCAATTTATTTATTGAGAAAAATTATCCAGTGTTACATATCTGTGAGTGGCAAAAGTATGTGAATCTTTGCTTTCAGTATCTGGTGTGACCCCCTTTTGCAGCAATAACTGCAAGTAACATTTCTTGTAACTGCTGATCAGTCCTTCACAACGGCTTGTAGGAATTTTAGCCCATTCCTCAGTACAGAACCACTTCAACTCTGTGAAGTTGATGGGTTTCCTCCTATGAACTGCTTGCTTTGGGTCCTTCCACAAAATTTCAATTGGATTAAGGTCCGGAATTTGACTCAGTCATTCCAAAACATTAACTTTGTTCTTCTTTAACCATCCTTTGGTAGAACGACTTGTGTGCTTGGGGCCGTTGTCTTGCTGCATGACCCACTTTCTCTTGTGATTCAGTTCTCGGACAAATGTCCTGACATTTTCCTTCAGAATTTGCTGGTATAATTCAGAATTCATTGTTCCATAAATGATGGCACGCCATCCTGGACCAGATGCAGCAAAACAGGCCCAAACCACGATACTACCACCACCATGTTTCACAGATGGGATAAGGTTCTTATGCTGGAATGCAGTGTTTTCTTTCTCCACACATAACGCTGCTCATCTCATCCATCCACAAAACTTTTCTCCAGTATTCCTCTGGCTTGTCCACATGATCTTTAGCAAACTGCAGATGGGCAGCAATGTTCTTTTTGGAGAGCAGGGGCTTTCTTCTTGTGACTCTGCCATGGACACCATGGTTGTTCAGTGTTCTCCTGATGATGGGCTCATAAACATTAACATTAGCCAATGTGAGAAAGGCCTTTAGTTGCTTAAAGTAGCCTGCAGTCCTTTGAAACCTAGTGGACTTTTACACGTCTTGCTTTTAAAGTGTTCTTAGTTTGTGGAGCATTCCTTGGGAGGGTAACAGTGGTCTTGATTTTCCTCCATTTGTACACAATCTTTCTGACTGTGGATTGGTGGAGTCCAAACGATTTAGAGATGGCTTTGTAACCTTTTCTAGCCTTATGAGCAACAGCAACTCTTTTTCTGAGGTCCTCCGAGATCTCATTTGTTCATGCCATGATACACTTTCTACAAACATGATCAGACTTTGATAGATCCCTGTTCTTTAAATAAAACAGGGCACACACTGACACCTGATAGTAATTTCACTGATTGAAAACAACTGACAAACAGATGGACTCTAATTTCACCTTCAAATTAACTAGAGATTCACATACTTTTGCCACTCACAGATATGTAATATTGTGTCATTTTCCGGAATAAATAAATGACAAAGAACATATTTTTGTCTCACTTGTTTGTTTGGGTTCTCTTTGTCAACTTTCAGGACTTCTGTGAAATTTTGATTGTTTTGTGTCATATTTATGCAGAAATATTGAAAATTCTAAAGGGTTCAGTGGGTTCACAAACTTTCAAGCGGCACTGTATATATATATATATATAAGAATGAACCCGTCTATAAACAATTCATTCCTTGCTTACATGTACAAACCACTAGAGGGCAGCTGAAAGCTTTGAGATGACTGGCGAAGTGTTTTCTGTCAACTATTCTTCAATAGTGTCACAGTGGGAAAAGCACATGCTTACAACACAAAAGAGCTGCACAGGGGCATATATTTGATTGTCTCCATCAACCTTTACTTTATTGTCATTGAATTTGTTTTGATTCTTTAGCTGGAGCAGTTTAACATGATTGAGAATCCCATCAGCTCAAACAGTCTGTACACTGAGGGATCCACTCTGAACTACTCTCAAGCTGCGATGCTAAACCTCACCGGGAGCCACGGCAGCCTGCAGGACGCGCAGCAGCTAGGCTACAGCAGCCATGGGAACATCCCCAACATCATTCTCACAGGTATTGCATCTGCCCGGTTACATATTGCATAATATTGCATGTACCTTTGCTGCACGTGTGTGCTGACGATGATGCAGTGAAGCCAGGCATCAAAGAGGTCCCTCTAAAGGTTTAGCATATTATATTACCCATCTATTAGTTGCAGGAGAGTCTCCCCTGAGCCTATACAAAGAGTTGTCCAACTCTCTGACAGGTGACGTGAGCTTTGACGCAGATTCCCAGTTCCCTCTGGATGAGCTGAAAATCGATCCGCTGACGCTGGACGGCCTGCACATGCTCAACGATCCAGACATGGTTCTGGCCGACCCTGCAACAGAAGATGCTTTCCGGATGGACAGGCTGTAAATCTTTAGGTATACCATGTTCATTTTTCCTTCTTTGAGATGGGTGTTTAAATGGGAGAGAAGCAGCATGTCTGGGGGACACTTTGACCCTGTTTCTCAAAGCCCATCCTCTGGGAAGAGATTGCTGAGAATGCTGCCACAGCATGCTAGGGGAAAAATGGGAAAGCAGTGCTGCCACATCTAACGAATCAACCTTTTGAGCAAGCAGCCCATCGTTTCTTAGGATAATACACTCGCACCTCAGCAATTGTGGTTCCTTTAGCTCTATAGAGAGAATGTGACACTACATAAGAGCCCTGTTAACATTCAAACATGTGTTCTTCCATTTCATTTCCTCCTTCTGATGCCTGCCATACATGCCTGTTGCTTTCCTTTTTCTTTAAATACAAATATTTAGTTATGCACTTTTATACATGCATGTGCCACCAAAAACATTGTTTATGATCCGTTTTTAATTTATTTTCCTATACAAATATTTCTTGCTTGTAACAAGAACATTAATGGTTTAAAAGGAGTGTTAATCCTCCCCATTTTAAGGGCAGCTTTCATGCACCTGCAACACGTCAACACTAATGTACTTCAGTACAGTCTGAACATATGATTGTAATGTTTTATAGATGTCTAGTTTTGTCACGTCGTTCTCAGATAGTGGTACAGTGCTAATGTGGCTCAAGATGATCAAATTCATCTAGCTGAAAAGTGTTCAACTGGAAATCGTAATATCAAAAAACACATTTACACGTTTAATGGGATTATTCATGCAAAAAATGAAAGTTCCGTTATCATTTGCTCACCCTCGTGTTGTTTCAAGTCTGTATGACTTTTATTTGTGGAAAAAAATATTTTTGCCCATACATTGAAAGTCAGTGGAGTCCAAAGCAAACCATTTGGACCCCATTGACTTTCATTGTTTTGGAAAACACTTTTTTTTTGTCACACACAAAAAAAAGAGACCCATACAGGTTTGGAACGACAAGAGAGTGAGTCAATGTTGACATAACTTTTCATTTTTGGGTGAACTATCCCATTAAAATGTGTAGTATATGCACACAAACAATGTAAAAGGCAGTAGCTAGTGAACAACTGCCTTGCAATTTGTTATGCATTAGGAAACCTTTTCATGCCAGTAATGTGGTGTTTTAAATCAACAGACTTGTATATTAAATGTACAGTATGTAGTGTTACAGTATGGCCTATAATCTCAGCCATGGTAACTGGTACAGTCAAAATGATGCTACAAACTTTACTTGTTAGTTCCTCGGTTTACTCTGAAAGAAACACGAAGACAGTATGTGATCATGATGATCGTTTGCATATATGTATCAGAACTATTCACTGTGATAACCAGATTCTGCCTTACGCTGAAGACGCAGTTTTTGTCCGTTTTGTTCTCCATAGCTGAAGGTGTTTTCTGGTACTGTTGCTGTAACTCACAAGGTTGTCCCGGCACACAGTTCTCATTCGTCTACTGGTGGCTTTGTGATATCATATGCCCAAACGGGGAGGTTTACTACTCTTTTTAAATCCTGTCACTTTCATCTTTTTCTCATATTTCTCAGACTTTTATACTCTTACCACTTTTGTAAGTGTGAGAATTTTGTTTACAATTTGAAAACATTAATATGATCTTAATGTTTAAATTATTGAAATGCTGAATATATATATATATATATATATATATATATATAATATTTTAAGACATTTTGTTATGTAAAATTTCTCTACGTACAAGGGGATAATCGGATTTGGATTAATATCTATGCAAAGCATAATCAAACATACTAATCACAAAAATACTAAAGAAAAGGCTCAAACAGACGTACGGCTTTTACAGCATCTGTGGGTTCTGAGTCTGTGCAGCTGAAATGTACTTGTTACATGGATTGCTTTGTCTGTTGTCAGCAAAAAGGAAAAAAACAGAAGCAGTTAATGCATGAAAACCGTTTCGATTCTCCATAAGGGATTCTTCTTGTAAGGGATCTGATTGCACCGTTTAAATTTCCTGTATAAAAAAGCATGACCTACATGTGCTTTGTCTCTGACAAACTGTTTTCATGAGGATCATGCTTCATGTGTTCAAAATGTACAATAATTGACAAGAAGGATGTGTCGGGTAATCAGTTACTGTTATATTCTTTTACTTGACTGCCTCATTGAAAAGAACAGCGTTGCTGAAACCAGAATGTATTTCATCATTTTTATGTAGGACCAAACATATTACTGAAACTAGCATTATTTTTGTTACTGTGACGTTTGTGTACCTTTCCACGTGTTTAATAGTTGCCCTCTGCTTTTCTCCATTTCATTTGCAAGAGGCTGCAATTGTACAGAAACTCATAGCTATTGAACTGTGAGCGTTTTTTAATGTTTTATTTTGCATGTCTGACCATCACAAGTATTGGTGATTGATAAGCTGTGCACTTTTATATATGATATTTTATTTTATTTTATCTCTATGTATATGTGTTCTGCATTTGTGAACTTACTACATGAAATCACTTCCTACATTTACTTGGCACTTTAATCGATACCTAATCCAAATGTTCTTTTTTCCCGTTTTTTTTTCTTCTCACCCCTCTGAGTGACTGTTAAGTGCACTGGGTCTATTTCCCCCTCTGTTTGGCCGACTTTGCCTTCTAATCTAAGACAAGTATTTTTGAAGAGGAAAAAAGTATATGTTGTCTATTTATGATTTTATAGTTGGTCACCGCAAAAAAAAAAAACTTTTTTATGTAGTGTTAGGAAAAAGTATGAAAGTACCCCAATATTAACGAAATGCACATTTCTGCATCTCAGTTCACCATAATAGACCATTTTACCTTTTATAAAGCTTCATCTGTGGATCATAGTGTATCATTACCATGAACTGAACCAATCCAGAACATTTGTGGTCCAGAAAGGAGAGCATGCAGACAAGACAAAGTCATCATTGTAACCCATAACTTATTCAGTATCTAATGTATGCACAGTCTACATGTATATAAATGCTACACTTATACATTTCTATATTTAAAAAAATAAGAGTAGATCATAAAATATCAGGAGTATGTAAAAAAAAAAAAACATCTCTCTCTCTCTATATATATATAAAACATTAAATGAACAACATGCAACTGTATGTTTTTACATTTTAAAATGCTTGAAGTGGATGCTATACTGTCCCTCCGTTCAGGGGTTTCACACTTTCCTCAAACTCATGGTTTAAACACACAGATCTGTGTTCATTATCAAGTGGGCTCACACTTCTAGCCAAATCATAAAAGAATCCCTGCTGCAAATGTACATGCAGTTTTGCTTTTCAGCCTCTATACACTGAACCTTGTTGAAGCTTTGTGAAATAATATCCTCTTATGTTGTTGTTTTGTAGTATTTGCTGTAGAACTATTCGTTTCTGGATGATATTCTTTTATTTTGTGTTTTGTGTGCGTGTGCATTGGGAATTTGATGTTTAAGTACTGTAAAAGTTGTCTTCACATGCTCACGGTCTGTTTGCTGCAGTGTGTTGTAGTTTTGTGATTTCTTTGCGGTGGTTGCTTTATCCAATCAGTTCCTAGATTTCCAAATATCTGACTTGGCCAGTTTTCTTTTGCATTCAAAAATATTTTCACAAGTGTCCTAATAATGCAGAAAAATAAGAGATCTTTATTTTGCAGGATAAAATTGAAAAACGGATGTTTAAAAAAAAAATTATTTTGATCTGAAATCTGAAGATATCCTGTTTAATAGCTTGATATGAACAGAAATATATGCGAAGTATTCTATAATTTGCACCAGTGAATGCACTTTAAATTTTAAATAGTTTATTTTTTGTCCCAAACAAGAATAGGTTTTTAATTGTGCAAATGCTTATTTTTGAGTGTGCCAGTAGATTTTGAACCATCTTTAACCTATTCAAAAAAGTTTTTTTTTAAGATGAGGCCTAATCATAGTTAATTTTTTTTTATTAGTTTGCACATCGTTCATTTGCCAAAATGCCCAGTTCGTAGGGCCAGAAAAATAATAGTGCAGAAAGTTTGCTTGTATACTATACATGCATTCTTTCTCTATAATTGACAAGCCATTAAAAAAAGCCAAAGTTTGTTGTTTGTATTTTTTTAAATTGAAGTTATGCTTGGTCTGCTACTGTTATGTCTTTGATATAAAGATGCTCTTGTGCAATTGTCAGTTTGCCACAGAGACTACCTAGTGTCTTTGTTGACCAACTGTAAGAATTTTCTTTGGTAATTTAGGACAACCGTATTTAAAAATGAAGCAGTTATGTACCTTGATGTATAATCTCTCCCAGGGCCAACCATTTACATGAGACTCTATATGTCTTCAGCCTTTAACACTGAAAACCTGCTTTATGTTGGGTGAACTTTTGCTGCATGGTACTGAATATTAAAATACCCACAAGTCTCGATGTGATGTCCTGCTTTTTCGCAGTTATCAAGCTCCGAGTATATCTGAACTCTGCTAGTGCATTACTAAAACTTTTGCAACTGGAAATATCATTTTTGATGAAGTGGTTTTGTATTATTTTTTTCCTTTATATACAAAAAAAACATTGTTATAGTGCTAAAGAGACAACTTGATAATGCAACCCAGTGGAACTGAAACGCATTCATGACAAAACTTTAAAATACTCTACAGTATGTGCATTTAATGAATGTGAACTGTCTCGGTGGTTCATATCTATACAAAGGCAGCTAATTTCTATTTTTTCAATGTATGATAATTCAGATGTTGCACATACATTTGACTGCAAAGTTCAGACGCTAATCCAATTGTTTGCAACAAGACATAACTCTACTCGCCAAATATGCAAACCTAGCTTTCAGGAACATAGCCTTGCAGCTTTGTGGTTTGATTTATCTGACCCTTTAAAACAAAAGGAAAATATGTTCCTATTACTATATGTTTTCTATGAAAAATAGAAAACAAAATAATAAAAAAAGAAAAAACCGTTGTGGGCTTTGTAAGTGTGCTACTTATTTAAAACAAAATGTTATCAAGCTTAAATTCCATTGTCCTACCTGTATTTTTCTGTGTGGAAGCTTAAGTCTTTGTACCTTTTGCATTAATATTTGTTTATTGAATTGAATAAAAATGTTAAAAAAGCATGTTTGTTTGTATGATTTTCCTCTGTGCTCAGAGACATTCAAATAGAGAAGTTAGGTCTGTGCTTCTAACTATTGTATAATTATAGACTCCATACATAGTGTAGTAATATTGAAAAGAACTGTGTTATAGAAAATAGATTCATAAAGAGAAAAACAAATATATTTGCTAACTGTAAGTGATCATTTTTTTGCAATAGCCGTAGGATACAAAAATAAGTCTATTTGTATTCTATTATTAGGGAAGGTTCTGTAAACATAAAACAAATGGTCTTCATTTGCATTATTTTTTGTTTCTTAGATATTAGAAGGCTATTAGAAAATTGATATTCTTAAATCTGTTTATGAGCTCGGTATATGTGGTTAAGCTGACACAGTGTCATTAGCAAAGCGCTAGCATTTGAATTCATGCTGAGAGCAGAGAGTTAGCTTGATTTTGAATCACCGAGAGAGATTAAAACTCTGTCGATGCCTTCAAACAGTCATGTATTTGTGGTCTTGGCTGTCCTGGGTGTTTGTGAATGTGTGTGTGTGTGTGAACTAACCTGAGCACACAGCTGGTAGCTGTTCCGGCTACGTTGCTGTGCTAACTGGGACCTAACTAGAGCTAACCTGCTGGCTGACTGGAAAATGTGACAGCCACATTGAATGTTTTACTAGGCTAACAACTCGCCATAAAAATGAGGAGCTTGAGGGGAATAATCAGTTTAAAGGGTTTAGGAAATAAA